ATAGAACTTTCCTCCACAAGGAACTTTTTTCGGTGGCAAATCTCCACCACCATTTGCATAGTAGAGTATCATTACCTTCCTTAGTCTTTCTGAAGCCCAAACCTCCAAAGTGTTTGCTAACTGAACATGCCTCCTAGTTGAGAAGATGCAATTTCTTTTTGTCATCACTATTTCTCCATAAAAAGGATCTCTGATATTTATCAATTAAGTTTGTCACTTGGGTAGGAATTTTGAAAAGGGAAATATAATAGATTGGAAGAGAAGAAAGTACAAATTTAATCAAAGTAATTCATCCTCCAAGAGAAAGATACCTCCTCTTCCATGAGGCTAGTCTTTTCTTCACTTTGTTTATGATAGGCTCCTAAGTAGACACTCTTTTTGGGTTGGCCCCAAGAGACATTAGAAGATAATTGATTGGTAGCAAACTCACCCTGTAGTTGAAGAATTCAGCTACTTGAGTGGTGAAATCCCTATTTATCCCAACTCCACAAATTACAGACTTTTGGTAATTAATCTTTAGTCCGAAAATTACCTCAAAGCAACCGAGAATTCTTTTTAGATTTATTATCTCATCCCAATCTGGATTGCAGAACATAAGGGTATCATCTGCAAATTGCAGATGTGATAGATTCAATCTTGAGCCACCAATATCTACTCCTTTGATAAGATTGAGGTTTTTGGCCTTTTGGATGAGAATATTTAGCCCTTCAACCACAAGATTAAAGAGAAAGGGAGAGAGAGGGTTACCTTGCCTTAAACCTCTCTAAGGAGGAAATTATTGAGAAGGGGATCCATTCACCAATACAGAAATATGAGGGAAAGAAACACATTCCTTAATCCATGAGATCCATTTTTCACCAAAATCGAATTTTTCAAGAATATGAAAAAGAAAGTTCCAATTGACACTGTCGAAAGCCTTCTAAAAATCCAATTTAAGAAGAAGTCTTGAAGAATTGCATTTCCACAAATTAACAACTTCATTGGCAATGAGAATATCATCCAATATTTGCCTCCCTTTTACAAAAGCTGATTGAGTCTCATCTATCAGTTTTGGCATAACAGATTTCAATCTTCTTGATAAAACCTTAGCTAGAACCTTATAAATACAACCTATCAAACTGATGGGTCTGTAGTCAGATAAAGAAGATGGGTCTGGAATTTTTGGAATAAGGGTTAAGAAGGTAGAATTCAGACCTTTCTTGATTCTGCTATTTAGATGGAATTGATTGAGAAAGAGACAAATATCTGCTTTCATGAAGGCTCAACATTTTTTGATGAATTTCATATTGAAGCCATCAGGATCAGGAGCCTTATTTCTTTACAATCAATAACAGAAAGAGGGTATTTTTAAAATTTTACATGAAGCATATCAATAAAATCAAAATGATCAAATACACACATGGTCTCAAAAAATGCATTGCGCAGAATTTTGGTTCCTAAAATATACTTTTTGTTTCATTAGTCTCCAAATTATGCATTTTCTTGCATTTTCATCTCTAATCTTTTAATTTTGTATTCAATTTTTACATCAATTTACTTTTTGGCCGATAAAAAAAATCCTTTAATTTTGTTGCAACTCTCATTACTGGCTTTAAACATTACTAACGATAGGGATTAAAGTGTAAAATATTGCATACTTCAACCAAAGTGAAACAATTAAAATATTGGGATCAAAATGTTACTAAATGCATATTTTATGTTCCATTTGTTTAGTTAACCCTTTTAAAAATGTAACTGTGACATAATTTGGTGTTTGTTATTCTAATTGCATCCGTTTTAGTTTTGAATTCTTCACATTGTGCCAATTAGTGTAATTGATTATATCCTTTAGAAATTTGATCAAAATCATAGATATAATAATTCATTTACTCTTCTCAAAGTAATTCAAGGATTGACGTTTAATTTGAAATGGTTTATTCCCTTTTTGAATGAACTATTTTGCCTTGATTTCTATATAATTTTTCAATGGATGTTATCAATTGGTCTAAATTGATATAATATGAAAATTTAAGAGAAATATCAATTCGGCGTATGTTTTTGGGCGAATTACATTAACGGTTTCTATAGTTTGGAACTTGTGTCATTTTGGCCTCTGACTTTTCAATTGTGACACATTTGACCATGAATTTTAAATCTTATTTCAAATAGGGACCATTAAAGATATTATTGTTCAATTTCAAGGGCAAAATCATCATTTTGATAAAATATAAACAAATTTGATAAAATAAATGTCAAAAAAATATTTTTAAATTTTTAAAAATGATTTCTATCCACCAAAGTTGAAATTATGTAAAATTGATAAATCTTTCACACATTTATTTATTTATTTATACCAAATTAATTTTTATTATGTGTTTGGATGATAATTATGTAATGAGTGGTTGTTAGGCTTTTAATGTATAATCGATATATTTAATATATGAAATGTTTTTAGTTTTGAATTTTTCGATTTAATAGATTGGTTTAATAATGATATCAAACTTTTCACCATATTTGACTTATGAAAAAATAGAAACAAATTTAATGAAAATAAAAAAAACCCACTTATTACATGATCATCATTCAAATACATAATGAAAATTAATTTAATAAAAATAAATAAATGTGTAAAAGATTTATCAATTTTATATAATTTTATCTTTGGTGAGTAGAAATAATTTTTTAAAATTTTAAAATATCTTTTTGACATTTATTTTTGTCAAATTATTTTATATTTTATCAAATTGATGATTTTACCCTTCAAATTGATTAATGGTATCTTCAATTGTTCTTATTTGGAACAATATTCAAAATTTAAGGTCAAATGTGTCACAATTAAAAAGTTAATGACCAAAGTGACACGAGTCCCAAACTATAGTTCTTGATAAAACCTTAGCTAGAACCTTATAAATACAACCTATCAAACTGATGGGTCTGTAGTCAGATAAAGAAGATGGGTCTGGAATTTTTGGAATAAGGGTTAAGAAGGTAGAATTCAGACCTTTCTTGATTCTGCTATTTAGATGGAATTGATTGAGAAAGAGACAAATATCTGCTTTCATGAAGGCTCAACATTTTTTGATGAATTTCATATTGAAGCCATCAGGATCAGGAGCCTTATTTCTTTACAATCAATAACAGAAAGAGGGTATTTTTAAAATTTTACATGAAGCATATCAATAAAATCAAAATGATCAAATACACACATGGTCTCAAAAAATGCATTGCGCAGAATTTTGGTTCCTAAAATATACTTTTTGTTTCATTAGTCTCCAAATTATGCATTTTCTTGCATTTTCATCTCTAATCTTTTAATTTTGTATTCAATTTTTACATCAATTTACTTTTTGGCCGATAAAAAAAATCCTTTAATTTTGTTGCAACTCTCATTACTGGCTTTAAACATTACTAACGATAGGGATTAAAGTGTAAAATATTGCATACTTCAACCAAAGTGAAACAATTAAAATATTGGGATCAAAATGTTACTAAATGCATATTTTATGGTCCATTTGTTTAATTAACCCTTTTAAAAATGTAACTGTGACATAATTTGGTGTTTGTTATTCTAATTGCATCTGTTTTAGTTTTGAATTCTTCACATTGTGCCAATTAGTGTAATTGATTATATCCTTTAGAAATTTGATCAAAACCATAGATATAATAATTCATTTACTCTTCTCAAAGTAATTCAAGGATTGACGTTTAATTTGAAATGGTTTATTCCCTTTTTGAATGAACTATTTTGCCTTGATTTCTATATAATTTTTCAATGGATGTTATCAATTGGTCTAAATTGATATAATATGAAAATTTAAGAGAAATATCAATTCGGCGTATGTTTTTGGGCGAATTACATTAACGGTTTCTATAGTTTGGAACTTGTGTCATTTTGGCCTCTGACTTTTCAATTGTGACACATTTGACCATGAATTTTAAATCTTATTTCAAATAGGGACCATTAAAGATATTATTGTTCAATTTCAAGGGCAAAATCATCATTTTGATAAAATATAAAAAAATTTGATAAAATAAATGTCAAAAAAATATTTTTTAATTTTTAAAAATTATTTCTATCCACCAAAGTTGAAATTATGTAAAATTGATAAATCTTTCACACATTTATTTATTTATTTATACCAAATTAATTTTTATTATGTGTTTGGATGATAATTATGTAATGAGTGGTTGTTAGGCTTTTAATGTATAATCGATATATTTAATATATGAAATGTTTTTAGTTTTGAATTTTTCGATTTAATAGATTGGTTTAATAATGATATCAAACTTTTCACCATATTTGACTTATGAAAAAATAGAAACAAATTTAATGAAAATAAAAAAAACCCACTTATTACATGATCATCATTCAAATACATAATGAAAATTAATTTAATAAAAATAAATAAATGTGTAAAAGATTTATCAATTTTATATAATTTTATCTTTGGTGAGTAGAAATAATTTTTTAAAATTTTAAAATATCTTTTTGACATTTATTTTTGTCAAATTATTTTATATTTTATCAAATTGATGATTTTACCCTTCAAATTGATTAATGGTATCTTCAATTGTTCTTATTTGGAACAATATTCAAAATTTAAGGTCAAATGTGTCACAATTAAAAAGTTAATGACCAAAGTGACACGAGTCCCAAACTATAGGAGTTGTTAGTATAATTCGTCCTATGTTTTTTTTTAATAATAAATAAATTCAGATTAGTTGTAAACTTTATAAACATTAATAATTAAAATTTCAAACTTTTTTCATGAATCTATAATTTTTTTGTGAAACTATCACTGAATTGTAATTTCTCCTAAAATTAAAGGACAAAATTTGATAAAATTGGAACTATACATTGACTAAATTGACAGAAGACTTAAACTACAGGAATCACAAGTATAATTTTTCCAAAAACTTAACAAAATCTTTATTTTTACTGATAAAAATAAATAAATAAGTCTTTCTTTCTAGCGTTAGAATGAGCTATGCATTCATAAAGGCAAGATCATGAAAACTACTAAAGTGCAATAGAGAGGTGGTGGATTGATGAAAATGACAAACAAAGTAGTTTTGACTTAGTAATGACATAAACATAGCATCTCTAGTACACAACTTGGAAAAATAAAAATAAACAAAGATATATAGTTTTTATGTCCTTAAAACACATTAAAGTTAAGGCTTTCTTCATTTCCACAATATGGGGATGCCACAGAAGATCAACATTTTCTCATTTGTTTAGTAAGGAAGGCCTTGGCAATAGATGCTTTCTCATATCCCTGGACAAAATCAAAATTTTCAATCAGGAGAGAGAGAGAGAGAGAGAGAGAGAGAGAGAGAGAGAGAGAGAGAAAGAGAGTCATTACCATTCTTCAATTCTATGATGGGGATGCCACATATGATCAACATTTTCATTTTCTCAGCACGGAAGTCCTTGGCATTAGATGCTTCCCAGATCCCTGGAAAAAATAAAAAAATTAATCACAGAGAGAGAGAGAGGGAGAGAGAGAGGGAGAAATCATTCAAGTGAGTCATTAAAGAAAGTTCTGTAACCGTACCAACATAGCACATTCAATTTAGAAAGATTGGAATGGACTTAATTTGAATAAAAGTACTATGAACCCAGATTTTTTGTACTAGATTTTTCTGGGTGAAGTGTTTGTGTGATGTAGATAGAATTGGTGTAGTGTAGATTCAAACATGAAATGAATTTGAGCCATAAATTGATTTTTGGGATTGTAGCACTATTTCAATTTGAATCACTCAACCAGGAAGAAAATAATATTTTTGGGGGAATTTTACGCAATAGCCTTATGACCACTTCACTATTCACAATTCACATTATGTGCATGGTCTTAAAACTACTCTTTTGGGTACACACACACACAAAAAAAAACAGAAAGAAAAGAAAACTAACTTATGGCTTATTTGCTTATTTGAATTATATCACTTCATTACTTTTCTATATATCTTTTTGTAATAAGCAAAAAATGAGTTTGATACTTTAACCCTAATATCTCATTGCTAGTAACCCTTGAATAAAACAAAGGAAAATGTTATACATACTCACATTTTTTTTTACCTATATCACATGTAAGGATGAGGTCATAGAAAAAAAGAAAAAGAAGAAGAAGTTATCTTCTAAGAAATGATAATTAATTACATTAGTATTTAAAAACAAAATAGTAAGAAAAATCAATAAAAATGCATCACTCATTGCTCAAAACTCAACTTAATTACTTTGCATTATATAGTTAGGTTCATAATGTAAAAGAAAATTGTTAATGATCACCTATAGAACTTCAATTAACCCTAGTGGATGTGTAAAAAAGATATAATTATATTTGAAAGTGTTTTAAGACGTGTAAAAGTACTTTGAAATTTTAGCCTTTTTGGTATTTGGTATTTTCTTCCCCATATTACCAACTGGGATCTTCTGTGTGATTCGATTAAAGTTCGTTTAGCTTGGTGGATCAAGTACAATCTTATAAAGAGGTTGATTACACTGTGAATGACTTTGTTTATAGATTGCAGTCCATTAGGGGCTGCTGATGTTTAGCAACATTGGGCTGGCCTTGCTACTCTGTTTTTTCTTTCTTTCAGCAGTTGGTTGAGCTCTCAACCATTGCTTTGAGTGGTGCTGCATATGATTTGGCATGCTCCTTGTGCCAACCTACAGATGGGAGTTATGTTTTGATGCTTATAGCACCTCTTGGTTTGTCCTTTATTGATCTTGATGTAAGGTTTATCCTTAAATCTTATTTAATAAAGATTACTTTTGCTGATCAAAAAACATTGACAGCCTGTTGGAGTGTCTCATTAGCATAACATTTACTAAAATTTTATTAGATAATATAATTTATGTAAATAAAAAATCTACTTATATAACAAAAATATCAAATGACATTTATATATCAAATCAATTGAATTGATTAATATATGAAAAAGGAACTAGCCCAGTCTAGTTGACTATCATTACTTTTCTACGGTCTTAGGTGAAGGTTATGGATTCAATTCTTCTGAAAGGAAGTTAAATTAGGAGATAAACACTTGGTGCTTTACAAGGGTGGGAAGACTAACTTTTATAGGTATTAATCTAACAAATAAAAACTGAGTTTTGCCGATAAAAAAAAATAAAAAATAAAAAACTTAATATTTGAAATAGTTGGGATCATGCCACATATATTACAGGGCGGTGATTGAGGGCCCGAAATGGAGAGCCCCGAATGGCTCGAAATTCCATTTCGGGTAAAAAGAAAGAAAAAAAAAAAGAAAAAAGAAAGAAAAAAAAAAAATAGTTTCTAAAATTGGAAATTAGGGGTATTAGGGGCAACTTTTTTAGGGCTCTCAATCATTTTCCTTTCGGAAGTGATTGAGGGCCCTAAATTTCGGGGCTCGAATGCCCCGAAATTCCACTTTAAGTAAAAAAAAAAAAAAAAAAAAAGGAAAAAAGAAAGAAAAAAAGAAACAGTTTCCAAAAATGGAAATTAGGGGCATTAGGGGCAAATTTTTTAGGGCCACCAATCATTTTCCTATATTACAAAGGGTCAATAATTTTTTCTGTTCTTAAAAAAAAAAAAAACTTAGGGCGCCATTCTCTATACTTGTAAATGTTAAACTTGTTATTAAGCTTTAATAGTAGAATGCTCATAAATTAGAGGGATAATAAATTTTTATTTTTATAAAACTTAATGAGGGCCATGCCTCCTTAGGCTCACCCCTAACTTTGTCCATGCCCACATATATTTATGAGAACATTACAAATAAATGGTGCCTTCACAAAATATTTACAATTAAATGAAAAATTTATAACTTCAATTATTAAAATTGGTAAAGTTTACCACTAAATTAAATTTTTTTTTTTAAAAAAAGGCATTGAATTACAATTTCCCCTATGTTTATTGATATGAGTATTACTACTTTATTTCAATCAATAAGAAATGTGATTATGTATATCATTACTTAACAACAACCTAAATAAAACCAGGAAAAAATAATGAAATTTTCTTTATATGGGTAACCATGGGATGTGAGTTTTCTCCATGATAATGCTCAAACAATACATGGACAAGTTTGTAAGAAAATGAAATTTGGCACCCATCTTTTCTAAAATGAAGGATTATGCATTGCCTTGAATACACAGACAACAACAAAAAAAATGAAAGTGAAATTGAATATTCAATCTAACTATTAATTACCTGATCAAGTTTAGTTTGGTTGTTGTTGCTCTCCAACATTAATCCAAAATGGATATGAGGGAAGTGTGCCCACTAGCAAAGAAAGTTCATTAGGTCGTAAACCACAAAAATTCCACTGACATTTTTGCATGCAAACCAACAAAAAAAGGAGTGTCCAAGTTTGTTATCATGCCAACTTACATTTTTTGCAGCAGTACTGAAAGCTTCCCTGTGACTGATATCTGGATTGTTGGCTTTGATCCTCTGAATCTCCTCTCTATATTTATACATACACATCATCACATTTTTATTTTGAGAAAAAAAAAATACAAATGGGTAAGTTTTGCCAGGGAACTTTTTAAAACGCAAAAGATAAAAGTGAACATTCAGGTGATGAGCATGCAATGTAAGTGACTGTGATAGCATTTTCGTTACTTTATGAACTGGTTATATGCAGAAGGTACTCGCTGCCTCTTCTCGGGAGCTGAAAAAGAAAACAATGCCTCATAAACACATATAACAAACAGGAAAAAAAAAAAAAAAAAAAAAATAAAAAAACAATAACAAAAAAAGTATTGCATGAGTGATAACAATTCAATCCAACGGTTCCACATAGTCCAGTTTACAGTTTTAAACATATTATTAGTATCAGCAATATTGAAAATTTTAAATTTTTTTAACCAGCAAAAGAAAGTTTTATTGATGAATGAAAATTTAAAATTTAAATATGTATATGAATGTATCAGTTAATATTTAAAACCTGATCTAGTCTGAGTGATAAGTTATAACTCTTACGTCGATTCACAGCTCTTTCCACGGCAGTGTTTGCAATTGGTGGTGGTCGGACTGTCGCCTTGTTGTTACATTTCGATGTGGAACCAAAGTCAATCTTGTAATCTGGGGAAGTATTGGACGCCTGAAAAAAATAGAAATGGAAGTTTATAATATACATGCTATATAGATGAGAAAATGGATTTTAGCTTGTATTGTATGTATATTAGGCAATAAGAGGAAAAGGGTTCACACTTCGTTCAGTGAAAGACAGGCCATTAATGAGCATAATGAAACTTAAAAGTTAAATAGTTTCTTTTGCATCTCAATTCATCCCAAAGAGGCAAAAAGGGAAAGCAGATGAAGTGGTTTGTTTTGAAAACTATATAATAGGACTTCTCCAGTGTGGATTTGACAGTAAAAGGGGAGAGAGAGAGAGAGGGGGGTGACTGAGTGAGTTGAAATGATGTTTTATAAGCAAAAAAGAAAAACCAACATCGAAGTGACTGAATTAGTTAGGAATCATATAAAGAAAATAAGACCCAGATTGACAGTTGTTGAGAGAAGTGATTTTGTTGCCAAAATAGAGGACAAAATCTGATAGAAAAGAAATCTATGAAAACCTATGAAAGAAAGTTTAGATTAGAACACGATACATGTCAATCAAATCATCAATACCTAAAAGTTTCTCTATCTTTGAAAGAAAAAAACCCTAGAAAAATGCTTTCCATTGATGGGTCAGGACAGCTCCTGACGCAATTACAACTGTAGCTGCGAAACACACTCTACAAAAAGCAAAAAAAACAAAACAAATGTAGGTTTTGGTTATGGCGGCTGTTAGGGTTCACAATCACATGTGCTTTGGAAGACTCGATCTGTGTCTATTATATCTATACAGAGATGAAGAATACTTAGATTTCCTCAAAAGAAGCAAAACCCAGAAACCCTAGATTTCAGAAGTCTATGATCGCCCTGAAATAAAGCTGATATTATATATTTATATTTATATTCATATATATGTTTATGTATGTGTGTATTTGTGGTTAAGATCACCTGAGTATCTTGCCAAGAAAGTGACTGAAATGCAGCTGCCATGTTCACCGACCATAGATTGGAGCAGTGTCCGCATCGGACGGTCACCATGTCAAACAAGCTGTTGCATGGAACACTCACCTGTAAAATCAAAATATCTGTATGTTAATCACCCAAAAAAAAACCCAGATCAAAATCTTTTAGTTTGCAAAAAAAATAAAAATAAATAAATAAACAAATAAATGCAAGTTTAGAGCTCTCGAGTGTTTGTATTGGAATTTTAGATTTTCAACACTGATATTCCTTCATATGGATTGATATATGACGTTATTACCGATGTTGCTATATTGTGATACTGTTATTTAAAAAATCATAGAGCACTGTCTATCTGTGTGTGTTTGTGTAAAGCAAATAAATTATGATGAACAAAGGAAAAAGCTGCAAGAAGATAAATATGGCCGATTAGGTCTGCATAATAATTGTTTTGACTATGGAAATCTAGCTAGTTGGACATTTATGACTCTACTATGGATAACCCAGTTATTAATTCTTTCTTTCTTTAAAGAAAAATGTGTTGTCAACAAAACATAAACATTTTGTCTAAACAAAACATCAATTTTTTATGTAAGTTGGAAATTTTCAAAAAAAAAAATTTCGATTGGAAAAAAAAAAAAAAAAAAAAAAATGTATCTGTATGGGATTGAAGTTTCCAATAAATAAAACAACTCATCAGCCACAAAGAAAGAGCTCAGTTTTGATACGAGTTCTTTCTTTCTCATACTGAGCAAGTTTGTCCTTGTTTTTCAGTATAGGATATATGATGATGAGTGGGGAAGGACATTCAAGGGTTTAAGAGAGGACTTGTCCTCATCAGTTTATCGTCACACAAACCCTTGTTTTGAAGTTTAATAACTCATTAATTTCTCTCTCTCTCTCTCTCTCTCTCTCTCTCTGGTCTTTTGCCCTTCAGGACTTTCAGGTGACTTCTCTTTGACTGCAAAAGAGAGAAGTAAAAGAAAGTCCCAACGATGGTGACCTGACCGTAACCCAATAACAAGAAAAACCCAGCAACCAAAACAAATAGATTTCAGTACATATATATAATAACACCAAAATGACCTGATCTCAGAACAAAGACCCCCCCTTTTTTCAGGATCCACAATGTTCTTTCTTTCTTCTTGTTATTATTCACACACACAAACACATAAAAATGAAAACACATATATAAATATATTTATGGGTTGATGGGGAATTTGCAGAAGCAGATCCCAGTAAGAAGAGAGGTGTTGAGAGATCAGATACCGCAAGAACGATATTGCAAAAGTTGCAAGGTATGTAGCAGAGTTGCTCTGGCACAACATCAACACAGCTCGACATGTTTATGTAGAGAAATTTGAATGAAGAACAAGAACAAGAACAAGAACTATGAAATAGAATGAGAAGCTTTTTTTTATTCTCTCTCTCTCCCTTGCTTTGAAGATGGGCTATGTATCACAACAGTAAAACTTATGAGTGCATAAAAGAGATGATGAATATATATAGAGAGAGAAATGAATATATGTGTAGAGAGAGAGAGAGAGGGGGAAAAGAAAAAGGTGGGGGATAGGTCCAAAGTGGTAATGAGAGATGAGCAGAGAAGGCCAAATAAAAAAAAGAAAAAAAAAAAAAAAAAAAAAAAAGAAAAAAGAGTGGGTTCAGTAGTGCCCACGGTAGGCAGAGAGAGTATATAGTGGTGAACCGGGACCGGTTCAGAAAGGGTTATATAAAAAACCGGGTTTTTGCAAGCTATTGGCCAGAGAGGGTTAGGGTTTCGTGAACAAGGAGCGAGAGAGAGAGAGAGAGAGAGAGAGAGAGAGAGAGAGGTTATTTGGGTGCATTATGATGGAGGGTAATGAGGGTGACCACTCTCACCCACGAAGCCACAACCCATCCTCTGCCACACCACAGCGCACGAGAGGGGCGACTTTTTAGTTAATTTTTTTAAATTTATTGATATGAAAAATGATATAAAAATTTATTTTTTAAACTCACTTTTAAATTTAATAGTGTGTTAAGAAAATGATTAATTGATAATTATAATATTTAATTATTAACTAACCATCTTTTTGACATATTATTAGATTCAGAAATTGAGTCTAATTTTGAGCGTGAATAATAATGATAGATAATAGCAATGATCCATATGGAAAAAATATATGTTTGATATTCTGAAAAATATTCACAAAATTGCTTTTGAATTTTTGTTATTTTGTTTTTTTTTCTTGTTATTTTTGAATTTATTTTAGAGTAAATTTTAAATATACTCCTTAAAATTTGTTTAAAATACAGATTATTTCATGTAGTTATGATAATTACAAATATTCTATTATCAGAATTTGTCATTTAATAGAGTCAAAAAAAAAAATGAACTTTTACTTCATTTTTTTTTGATCAGCAAAGAAAATCCTTTATTGATGAAAAAAACATACATATGAGATAACATCAACAAAGAAGAGAAAGAAAAAAGGACAAGAAAAGAAACCGAGCATAGTGTTGGTAAGAAACCAACACTAGCTCACAAGACCACATACACTTGAAGCCAAAACCCAAAAACTAGCTAACAAAGCTTAAACCCACTGAGAAAACTCCAGCTAAGCTTACTTGATGCCATCCTTCAACCTTTAGAGACTAGACTTTCCTATTTGGAGCTCTCTTGGTCCTGTAACTCTAGCTCAATAATCTCGTTTAGCACATCATCTTCTTCTCCATTGAAATTGATGCCAAGAGATTTACCTAATTGTTTAGTGGCTTTAGCTTCATTGAGGAGAAGATTGTTCGGACTAGTAATACCCGCAGACAGATCTGAACGTGCAATCGTAGCTGCTGCTGGTCTGAAAATGACAGACCTAACTGCTGCAGTTTTCTGCCCATGAAGTCTAGCAAAGCTGTTGAACCCTTTTAGCTGAACCTTCTTTCTTTTCCTCTTCTCATTCCGCAAGAGTTTTGGGACAGAAGTAGGTTGTCTAACTAAGCCTGACTGATTAAGGCTCAGAAGACCCTTCCTATTTAGATTCTTCCTAAGAGCTTGTGACAAATCCACTAAATGAACTTTTACTTTAAGGTTCATAATATTAAGATTTTATAAAATAAAGGACATGCAACATTTTCTCAAAGAAATTTCAACTATTCAGAGAGAAATTTCACAGAAAAAATTTCTAAAATTTCACAAAGAAATTTTAGTTCGTCATAGATAAATTTGTAAAGAGAAATCTGTCACCGAGTTGAAATTTTTTTTATGACAAGCTGAAATTTCTCAAATAATATTATTGAAAAACCTTAATTAATAAGAAAAAATATACTGAATCTCTTTTACTAGCAAAGGTTAGATAGTGATGTTTTACTAATTTTTTCAAAAAAAAAAAAAATGAAATTCTTAACCAACCTCCTATACAACAATAAAATACTTAATTACAATATATTTTTGACATCATTAAAATATGTTAATTGACTTAATGGTTTATTAACCAAATGAGACATTTGTTATGCGATTAGAAATTTGAAAAGACGAGATATAATTTTCAGAATCACATGGAACTATTAATATTTTAAACAAACTCAGAGGATATACTTGTAATATAATATTTATTTTTGTATATTTAGTTTTTCTTTTAAATACAACTAATCTATTAGCACAAGTAAAATATCCTCGAAAAAATTTGGAGGGAAATTTACTATTGACCCCCCCCCCACCCCCAAAAAAAAAAAAAAAAAATTTTTCATCTTGGAAGTAAGGATGGAGTCGTCTGGAAGCAGTGACCAAGGCCAGGGACAATTTTTCTAACAATGGGTAATTCTGCTCGGCGTCCTTGAGGGCCCGACTGATGTAGTAGACCGGCCGTTGAACAGAGTCGTCTTCTCTGATAAGAGCTGCACTGACTGCGATGCTTTAAACGGCTAAGTAGAGGAAGAAAGATTCGCCAGTGATAGCCTGAGAAAGGAGGGGGGGTTGGCCATGCACTGCTTCAACTGCTGAAAGGCCTCTTCGGACTTGGTCATCCATTCAAAAGTTTGCCGAAGAACTTTGAAAAAGGGGAGGCACTTATCTGTTGAGCGGGAAATGAAGCGGTTGAGGGTGACAACTCGGCCAGTGAGTTTCTGAACCTCCTTAACCGTTCTAGGTGACTGCATTTCAACCAAGGCCTTGATCTTCTCAGGGTTAGCTTCAATGCCCCGCTGACTGACCATGAAACCCAAA